AGGTGGTACTGGCGTGGCAGGACCTGCAGAAGTATTATTAATATCAACCATTCTTGATATTAAGGAATGGGGAGGAATAATCGGAGGGGGAAGGGAGCAAATGTGTTGAGATGTCCCGACAATCACCATGTCATGACTGAATCTCCCTACTAAGCTCAGCCCAGCGGGAGGAGGACCCAGCGTTGCTTGCAAAGAAGGGAAACGATTCCTCCCCGCCTGGCTGAAGCAAGCCGGCGGCCAGAGAGGAATCGTCTCCCTCCTTGCAAGCAATGCTTGCAACCAAAGGCGCTTCAGCCGGTGCTTCAGAGCAGCCGCGGGAGAGACCTCGCCCGTGGCCGCTGCCCGCCCCGAGAATTTTTCCCCATAGGAAACATCGCAATGTGATCGCTTTTGCGATCGCAAAAAACGAATCGCTATGCGGATTCGTCGTTAAACGGGGCACTCGTTATGCGAGGCACCACTGTACATGTCTTCTAATGGAATGTAAGACAATACTAGTTCCAAACCTAGGTATTGTGCGGTAGTTCAGTGGTATTTCTGGTCCACAATTATGCTTCTGACCCCTTTCTTCTCAGACCATCTTAAGCAGCACATCCAAGATTTTGCCAAGAGAACTGTAGCTATGTAACCGACTGGCCAAATGGTTATGAGAAAGGGCAATTTTAACACTTGTCATTTATAGGCCACAGAAGACTCTCTACCACACTCTGGCACATGTAGTTCCACAAAAAGGGCAATTTCACTCACCACAAAGGGTACAGTCCAAGCCTTGAAACGATGAAAAAAGCAGCAAACACAAAGAAGAGGAAATCAGAGAGTCTTTGAAACTTGCAGTAGTTTGCCATTTTGGCTGCCTGTAACAAGGAAGAAACCAATGTTACTGCCTCCATAAAACATGCTGAGCTTTTCCTTTGTCTTTGTGCAAACTGTTATCAGGCAATTAAGGCCTAAATACAGCCATGGGCCAATAGGAATCTTTCATTGTCCTCGTCTCTACCATTATCAGTATTCAAAAATTCTACCAAGAATAAAAAGTAACATCCATCTGAATTTGTCAACTTATGGATTGTGACTATTGCAAAACACGATTTTATGGTTTGAATTATAATTATTTAAAATGTAGCTTTTTCACATTACCCCAATCATGTCAAAACCCAGAGATGCTTATCCGAAAATTACATTTAATACTTGCTGACATGTAAATACTGATTGCAGCTTGAGGCACTCAGGTATGGTGTAACTGTTTCCTTCTGCCAATTTTGGCTTACATCTGAAGTTTTTTCTTATAATTCCCAAAGAAGCCAAAACGCATAGGAAAAAAAAACATTTGCTCTTGTCACACATTTTCGTGGAAACTTCCCCCCCAACACTTATTCCTTTTATTCTATCACACCGTTGTTAACACTGTATTATATATTGTATTCTTATGTGTTCTTCACTTTCCCCTTCGTGCCTTCTTCGTACCATTCCTTCTTATGTAAAACCACAAAACTCTGAAATCCTTTGTGATTGTGTGCTTAGACTTTCAAGTTGTTGTGTACTTAAACTTTCAAAAAGCAAACAGAATTTCATTAGAAAGTAGAATGACTAAATTGAAGCTATTGCATATTGGATGTATCATAAGAAGACAAGAGTCACTGGAAGAGACAACCATGCTAGGAAAAATGAAAGGTAATAGAAAAAGTGGAAGACCAAGCAAGAGATAGATTGATTCAGTTTTTAAAAAAGCCATGCTGATTAGTTTTTAAAGCCAGAGCAGGGAAGCCAATGGCAGGATCTTTGGTGCTGTTAATGGATAGGTTTGCTGAAAGTAAGAACCAATTTAATGATACATAACAATAGCAAATATAGAAGACACTGGATAAAAGAACAGGTCCTCTTATGGAACAATGACAAGCTGAAGGAAAGGTAACAGAAAATAGGAGTAAGTTGATGGGTCTCACAATGGAGGAATGTAAGGCATGGAATCCTCCAGGGATTTTTATTCAAACAGGGGCTTCAATTGGTTCATAAACTGTACAGGATTAGAGCTAAGCAGGGAGGTGGCCATTTTTTGTGATGACACCCAGTTATTAAAGGTATTAAAATCAGAAAAGACACTGCAAAGAAGTTCACACAGATCTCTATAAAGTGGAGAATGGGTCACGAAAATGGCACATGGAGCACAGCATAAGTGGGGCAAAATCTTAACTTCACATATAGACAGACTGGGTTGAACCTAGCAGTGAACAGAGATGCTGGGGTCATGATGGGTAATGAAAAGGTTGACCCAGTATGCAGCAGCTGTGAAAAAATAAATGCCACATTTGGATTTATTAGGGAAGAGTTCAAAAATAAAACTAGCAACGTTGTACTGTTTTTGTAAAAATCTATGAGGTGATCAGTTTTGGTCACCCTATCTCAAAAAAGATATTTTAAGATCTAGAAATGACTGTTCCGTAAAACAGCAGAATACAGTGAAAATAATAGCTAAGATCCTGTTTCATAGTATACTAATTTGTACTAGGGTTGTAAGTCACACTAGAGTAGGCCCACTAAATTAGTAGGGATCTGGTGAGTCAACTCCTCTGTAAGTTCCTCTGATTCAAATGGGCCTGCTCTATGCAAAAGTTACAACTAGAATAGGCTTGTTTGAATCAATAAAACCTATTGAGGAGTTCACTCACCAACTTCTCACTGATTCAATGTGCTTACTTTGGTGCAGCTTATAACAGGATTTCAGATAGTGTATTGAACAGTCACATGTTAAAAATTACCTGGAATTTTTAAAAATTAAAAATGATCAAACACCTGAAAATAGAAAAGATATGGTAAATTTTCATGGTGATGGTTTGCCATGGTTTTGACTCTGGCACTGAAAAAGCTATGGGCTGTGTGCCCACTTGTCTGATTTTTCCATAATGCTGGGAAGAAGCTGAAATGGGAATAGGCAGCTCTTAAGAACATATTGATTCAAACTTACTTCTTCAAAGGGAAAAATCATGATTTTGAACTGAGCTCAGAAATAGAGAGCGACTGATGAAGATGACACAAAACTGGATCAATATGCTCCAGTCTAGAGGTTCTGAAGAGTAGCTGGGTTGCCATCACATTCTGAACAAACGAGATCACTCTAAAGACAGTTTCACACATAGCACTGCAGTAGCCCAGCTCAAAAGTAATAAGCAAGGCCAGATTTGTCTTCTCCAAAAGAGGCTGCATCTGGTACAAAGTTGGGAAAATGCCTTCCTAATTGGTGCTTCAATATCAAATACAGTGGTGCCTCGCACAGCGAGGTTAATCCGTTCCAGATTAACCCTCGCTGTGTGAAAACATCGCTGAGCGGGGCAGAAAAGCCCATTGGCTGCTGTACTCCAATTGGCTGCTGTACTCACCGTTCAGCGATGTTTCTCCGATGGCCGGCAGCCATTTTCGTGCCCTCCCCTCGCTTAACGAGGGCACGAAAACGCTGCGCGCGGCCATTTTGCGGCTTCCGGCGGCCATTTTGTAGCCGCGGAACAGCTGATCGGCGGGTCGCAAAGCGAAGGTCGGTAAGCGAACTGCTTACCGACCTTCGCTCTGCGATTTTTTCCCTATTGAGGCATCGGTATGCAATCACATTTGCGATCGCAAAACCGGCCTCGTAGAGCGAATTCATCGCTCTACGGTGCACTCGTTGTGCGAGGCACCACTGTAAAGTGTTGGATCAATCCAGGCTGTGTACCTAATTCTAAAAAGCCCAGCCCAGTTACTTCAACGAGGAACATGATACTAGATATGGATACTTTTGGCAGGATTCAAATAGTTACTGGTGTGAATAGGCACAGTCTTTTAGAACTGGATTAAACACAGAACTTTTATGACTTCCAGTACTCAAGATGGCTTATGATAAAGGCTTCTGGTGAATCATTTCAGTTTAGAATTCACTGGATGGTCATGTTCCACAGATAACCTGAGACCTGCAGCCCAATCCAAAGTGTTTTCCTTAAAAGCAGGTCCTTCTATGTTTATGGAAGACTCTTTTCAGCTAGGGAAAGAATTATTATATGTAAATCTCACCTCGAGCACAACATCAGCTCCATCATGAAGACATATGGTCAGGGTCCCCACTCGTATGAAATTGATTGTGTAGGAGAGAGCGATTAAAATGACTGTTGTGATGTGATGTGTAAACATGATGCCGAAATCCTGGGGAGAAAGGAGAAAGAAAAATGTTAGAACATTTCTATACAAATTGATTTGGGTTTTTCAACCTTTGAATTCAGAAGGAAAAAAAAAGATGACAATCAATACAAGGAAAGGTAAAATATGTAGCAAAATGTGTAGATTAGATTGTAATCATTCTCTTAAGAGGGACAAATAAAAGTAAAAAGGAGTCAAGGACAAGAACCAATGGGTGGAAACTCATCAGAGGGAGATCCAACCTGGAAATAAGGAGGAATTTCCTGACGGTGAGAACCATTAAGCAGTGGAACAGCTTGCCTCCCAGTGTTGTGGGTGCCCCACCGCAGAAGGTTTTCAAGAAAAGATGGGACAGCCATCTGTCCAGGATAGTATGAGGTCTCCTGCCTTGGGCAGGGGGTTGGACTACAACAGAGGTCCCCAACCACCGGTCCGCGCCCTGGTGCCGGTTTATGGCCTGAGCCAGACCGGGTTGTGGAGAGAGACCTCAACCCCCACGCACTTCCCTCTGCACAGCCCATTTGCGCCTGCATGCGAACGTGCCTGCATGAGCGCTGCCTCGCCCTTTGTGCATGCACACGAGCGAGAGAGAGAGTGCTGCTTCGCACATGCGCACGAGTGCAGGGGGTGCCCCGCCTTCCCCAGCCGGTCTGTGGGGCTAAAACGGTTGGGGACCGCTGGACTAGAAGACCTCCAAGGTCCCTTCCAACTCTACGATGATTCTATGATGCTATGAAATAAGATTAACTTACACTATATTTAAGTTATTACTTCATGCATAAGTAATTCTGAAACTTAAGACTTTGAAGCATATGTGTGTCATTTCATTTTCTACAAAGATCATGGGAAGGGTAATTTCAAATGATCTTTTAATCTAGCGCAGTGGTCCCAACTTTTGGATACCTAGATGTCTGTGTCTTACGGTGCAATCTCATGTTTTTCAGATGCCATGGGAACAGTTCATTGATAGTACTCAGCAAACTGAGCATGACCTTTGCAGCAATAATAGAGCTTACAGCCAAAATGGTACTGCCTAGGTTTTGTACTTCTGAAATAATCATTCAAAAATTCTTTGGTAGGGCACGCCACTGGATATCAGGAAAATGGCTGGCTTAGGAGTTACAACGGAAAAAAAGTGCATGAGAGTCTAAGACACAAGGGAGGGTTTTCCTTCTCTGTCGCTGCTCCAAGACTCTGGAACTCCCTCCCACAGGAAGCCAGACTGGTGCCATCTTTGTTGTCCTCCCACAAGCAGGTGAAGACCTTTCTCTCAGGCAAGCTTTCCCTCAGTGAACTGGCTGCCTGAGTGTGACCTTTTTAGATGGATTATTATGCATCACTGCTTTGACTGTTTTTAGTATTGCTTGATTTTCCCATTTCTAAGAGGGGTATTTGTTCTTTTTTGATATTTCTATACTTAGTGTTTTTAGCTTTGAATATTGCCTTTTAATGACGTATGCCACTTTTGTATACTCATTTTTTGTTCTTAAATATTATCTTAAATGTGGGTCCTTTTCTAAGGAGAAAGACAGGATAAAAATATTTTAAATTAAAGAATTAAACAAACAAACAAAATGTGCTCCCTTGTGTCCTCAATAGGAAAAAGGAGAGTGCATTTTCCTTTGTCATATGCCACAGAGCATGGAGGGTTCAGAAACAGAAACAAGGAAAGTTACTTTTTTACATTAAACCTCCCAGGGTATTTTTGAAGCTGAAATTTATAAATAGCTCTTCCCCATCTGTTTTTGTCGACAATTGACTTAAAATGATTCTAACACTGAGGGTGAGCAGAATTAGCATAACCTAAACAGTTTCCCCCCAGAAGACCAACTAAATGACTCCGATAATTCTATCTGCCATTGTGGTATGGTTCTCACAGCCAGTCAGGCCCCTCAGCAGGTTGTTTTTTCAGACACCTGAAAACGACACACATACACAAGCAATTGCAATAAATGCAAACAGTCTAGAAACTGCCATGACTTTTGCTGAAAACACACAAGTGTGTGAAGCATGACCATAACTTCTTCCAGCGCTCTTAATTTAAATAGGCCAATAAATCATTTCAATGAATTACCCATTTTCTAAGACCTTCTTATCCTCAAAGTAACATCATCCTCTAAAGACACCAGCTGTCATCCTACCAAAAACGCAGTGCAAATACATAAATTTGACTGATGTTAAAAGTAATGATATTTCAGGATGACCATAAGCTTCTTAGTAGCCCAGTTCTCTTTCCTCTGTGCACTGCAATGCCATTTGGGGATATTTAAAAACAAACAAAGCAAACAATGTACACACCAATTTTGACTACGTATATGCCATAATACAAAAGGAGAGTAAACTAGCCCTCATGCCATTGTATGAGCTTTTTTTAAAAAAATCATTTACTCAGTCAAGTTATTTTCAGAGAACACTGAGCTGATAAACATGGTCTGGACTGCAGATACTGGTCATTAGTCTTCAGTCAGGCAGGATAATCTAGGGGAATGTATACCCAACCAATAGCTGAAAGAGGCTTTTGAAAATCAGCACTCAAGTTCCATTGGAAGTGTCAGGAATTTTTCCTGTCAGGAATTTGCTTTTCGGGTAAACAGCAGGGTGAGCACAATGTGGTGGACTTTCATTTTTACATGGGGAATCATTCCTATTCCAGGATGACATTATTGTTGGGCAGGAATGCACCACCTCTCAGCAAATGTACAATGCAGAGTCACACATGGAACCATCTTCATTGTCTCCTATAGACATTTTTTGTGACCCTCTGTCCGTAGCTCTTCCAGTTGTTCTCCCTACTAATGGAGACCCTAATTCTATTCAGGAGTTACGCCTGAAAGCTTGAAGAGTGATAAATGGATTGGGGGTCCAGGCACAGATCTAAGTCCAACCTCTCAGCAAATGTACAATGCAGAGTCACACATGGAACCATCTTCATTGTCTCCTATAGACATTTTTTGTGACCCTCTGTCCGTAGCTCTTCCAGTTGTTCTCCCTACTAATGGAGACCCTAATTCTATTCAGGAGTTACGCCTGAAAGCTTGAAGAGTGATAAATGGATTGGGGGTCCAGGCACAGATCTAAGTCCAGCTTCCAACACACACACACACACACAGAGAGAGAGA